CCAACGCTGCATCTAATTTAGTATGCAATATTTGAAACTTTATTTTTCAATCGCTTCGGCAGTTTTTTGATGTTTATCGAATGATATTGCATTAGAAGACCTTTTTCTTCAACACTGTGTAGTTTTCTCATTATTTTACGTTGCGTTAGTAATTTCTGAACAGTTTTTTGCGGGGGCTTATTTTCGGCCTGATTTTGCTGCTATCAGACGGAGAAAGTTTGCGGCTCGATATTTTTGGTTTAAAGCGAAAATGAAACAAAAGAAATTCATTTTTAAATAGTATTCGGTAACCTCTACTTGGGAGATAAAAATCGGCCGATTTTATTTTTTAGCCGAAAATCATCGGTCGTTTCTTAGGCGCAGGGCCTCTTAATCATCACAAACTGCAGAGGAATATTTTTACAGTGTCTTAGTAGCAAGTCAATGAAACATTACTACCTAAGGTTTGACTGGAAAAGTGTTATCTAAATTATGTTGAAAAGAATTAATGCAAGGAGTTATAAAACATACATTAGCCCTCTTACACGGATGCTCTTTAGGTTAGTCACACAATCTCTCCTGATGGAGATTCCATGGAGCGTACGAGTCCAAAGAGCGTATGCGTAGAAGGCTGCTTAAAACATAAAGCTTCGAAAAGGAGATTGACATTTTTATAGTGACGTATTAGTTTTATTTCCCCAAATAGATCAGTTTTAACCCCTCCTAGCCTCCTCCTCCTCCTATAGTTCGTTACGCTTTCCTCCATGGAAAGATTGGGTGAAGAACCTGAGGGACGTCTGTGAAGAGGCTAAATTTCTCCTTGCATTGTTAAACCTTTGTCAACTACTTAACTCATGAGAATGAAGAACGTTTTCTCAGACACCTTTCCTAAATCACCCCCTGACATTAGTGACAAGTTCACAATGTTGAACAGTGGATGAAAGGGGAAGGGAAAATAAATCACACATGGCAGATATCATTTAAGAGAGAACTCGACTCTTAAATGTTTTGATTGTGTGAAACATTTGCTCAGCCAACAGCATTTCGTTACTTGAATAAATCATTGGGTACCCGGCCGTAGCACCGGTGAATTTAATTCTGTGTGTAACCCTGCGATGGACTAGCATCCCATCCAGGGGGGAGTAGAAATACTCCTAATCGCTTTATGCTCTAGAAACCTTAGATGTGCACCAGCCTGATGTGCCACTTGGCTCGTATGCAGATTTTACTTGTAACGTCATGTGTATAATTTCTTCTCTTACAGCAACTTCAACAGGCCTGGAGGCACTTCCACGGCCCGCGCGTCCGCCGACTTCTGAAGAAGTGCAAGCGAAGCTAGCGGCGCATGCGGAGTCGCTGCGGAAACAGGCTCAAGATGCTGCTTCCATGCTCAACCTACCCAGCTACCTGAATCCATCAGTTGTCAATCCGCACCAGTATGCTGTGCAGGCACAGAAGAGAAAGCTGCTCTGGAGCGGGAAGAAGACGACTGAGGTGTGTATCAGGCATCTGTCTACACTACGCCAGAGAAATTTGAAAACGGAGTTTCCACTCTGAAAACGGAGGAATTTTAAAACGCAACAATCACCGGTCAGTTTGGATTTGTGTTGGAGGAAAACTCGATCAGGAAAATCACATGATTATCGTGACGCCTTCGTTTTCGAAAGGCTCCGTTTTCGGAATGTTTTTCGTCCACACGAAAACGAAAAGCCGGCGTTTTTAAATTCCTTGCGTTTGAAGAGCGTTTTCGAAAAGCTTGGTTTTGGTGACGGATTAGTGTGGACGGTAGGCCTAACCGTAGAAATAAAGCTACGTTTTCAAATTGTTCCCTAGTGTGGACGCTGGTTCAGTGTAAGGTACTGCTATTATTACAGTCGGTGGCGTGCAGGCAAACAGCGTTTTAATCCGCCATAATTTGGCGAGAACTCGTGTAGCTTTTTCTAACCGGTAGAAAGCGCGGGAAAAGGCGCACGAGTCATATTTTACAGCCCATCACAATGCACACAAATGTAGCAAGAAACGAATCATTAATGAAATCATTTTGCAACCGGTTCAAAGTGCTGGGCCCAGTTTTTCGAAGGCTGGATATCGCTATCCGCCGGATAAATCGCTATCTGGTGGATAAGTGTTAACAAAACAAACCACGCTATCCGCTGGATAGTGATTTATCCGGTGGTTAGTGTTATCCACCTTTCGAACAACCCGGGCCTGGAAAAGTCAAGGCAACTGAAATGTAAGGGCTGATCGTGATACTCGGAAATCACGCTATAAAATAATCAACTCGGGGAAAGATCGTGTAACTGGTAGAAAGCGTGTGAAAAACATATGAGGCAAATGATCGGGTAAGTAGCTGACTGGCAGGCTAAAGGCCAGTGGCCAGCAGGTTGCATGGGTTTTGAACCAATTCAAAAGCACGTCTTTTACATTTATAAGTTACTCTACCGGCTGAGAAAAATTACTGTATTGCATTACTGACTTTTGAAATAGTTTCCTTTCATTACTAGCAGCACGTTTGCAGGGATTCTGGCTTTGTAGATAGATGAATATAGTTCGCGTTTTTCTAATGGCTGTTTTTGTACGACAGGGCACTGCAAGTAGCGACAGCGGCGGTGCCACAACATCAACCTTGTGGAACAGTACCACGTTCAGCAATGACCAGGGAGGGGAGATGCAGGCGAAATTCCGGCGCTTAATGGGCATCAAAGGCGACGGGAACGCACCCCCCGGGCAAGAAGGCCCTCAAGCCCAGAGCCAGCAACTCATGGCAGATCTTGAAAAGGAGTTTGAACGGTCTCGAGCATTTCAGTTATCCCGGGGGGCTGGGGGCAAGAGTGGCATCGGGCTTGGTTACTCAGGCACATGACGCAAGCTCGGACAAGTGTCGTTGTTGAATGTATAGCTGTACAATTCGGAGCCAAACGATTTACAGTGTGCTTGTAATTGAGTAGAATCAAGCACTTTACCAGTTAGGAATCGAGTTGGTAATTTTTAGTAAGGATGAATTGTTTTATCAAATGGACACGTCTTTATGTCTCTATAGGCGATAGTACCCTCCTTAAGAGTCGAATTCACGGTCGGTGGATCACGAACGTTTCTTTCAAGTAATAATTTGTATGTTTTTGGGCATTATTGTTGAAGCACATATCCCTCAGCTTACCACAGGAAATGCAGATTAATCTCATCTTGCGGTTCTATGAAAATTTTGTTTCATTAAAATTTATTGAAAAAACGTCTGTGCATCTCTTCTTGTGACTAATTCTGGTTGCGAACGTAACTCGAGAATAATCCGTCAATCTTCCTCAGCCTTAAAGTAGCTCAGTCACGGTATTTTAAGTTATTTTGGCCACGGACGTTACATTTAAATTGAAGAAAACCTGAAAATGGCAGTTTACTAAGATAGTAAAACACAAAAGAGATAATAATAAACCAGAAAGGAACAAAGATGGTTAAGGATGGAGAAGATTAACCACGGATTGCAAACGACGAACTGAACTTGAAAAATTTAGGCTAAACTTTTCAAGATGCGCTAGCCATGATGCAAGCTCCTTTAATCCCTCCGTTTAACTTTAAGGTCTAGTCTTAACTCTGTGGCAGTCGCATGGTGTTTTTTAAAAAGCTGTCTGAAGTTTTCTTTAATTGAAGAGGTGATATTTATTTAGGTAAAGTGTTCTAGATATATTGTGTCATGCCTGCGTTAAAAAGCAACTGTTTGAAGAGAGGCGTGGTGATATTGTTGTACAATGTGACAAAACACCCGGTCACTACTCTAGAATGAAAAGAGATTTTTTTATTATAAATTAGCAAGAATAATTATCATGTTACAACCTTGCATTCAAAACGAAGAACCATCAAAATGCTCAGTTCTTGGAAACTTTCCTTATTCGTGATTTTCCTGGTGGGGACGGGGTGGTGCCAAGATTTTTACTGTCCCCTCTGGAGGTGGTGTTAGATTCTGCTCTGTTACGCCCAGCGCTTGGCATACTACGGAGTTGCTTTCGCATTTTTGAGACATTGTTCCATATTGACTCCTTTCTGTTTCCAGATTTGGGTTTGGAATCGGAACAAGATTTCGAGAGCGTCTCCAAGCGAGCTGTAGAGAAAAGTTAAAAAAATCAATTGTCAAATGTATTTAGCACTGTTGTGCTAATTGGGGACACTGTAAATAATTATACAAATATTGCAAATATTGCAGTTGGGTATTCACACAACGCGGTCGATGAGTTGAACTCGGGACTACCGAGAACAAATCCAGATAGCTGTAGAGAGGAGGATTTGAACCAGAGACCTCCTGATTTCAAATCCAGCTCCCTAAACCACTCGGCCACACCGCCTCCACTCATATAGAGAACAATAGTCAAGCGTTTTCCGTCAGTCAATCATCTGTTTTGAAAGTTAAGAACTCACCTAGAAGTTTAGGATTGGATCTCTCCAGGTCATTCAACAGCGCAGTATAGGTTGTTGGCTGATCACCTTGTCCTTCTGTGTAAAAACGCCAAAGAGAATTTGATTTGTAACGGACTCGGTGGATAGGTTTGTTACGTTACTTTCAAGTGGAACTTTGCAATCTGTGTACATAAAAATTCTAAAAAAAAGACATTTAAAACAGATCTAAAAAGTACTTCAAAAGAGAACCACTAAATTTTCGACCGCCGCCTTCGGGCTTAACTTGCAAATATGCAAGTTTGGCCCTCGTCCACGCTACTCCGGAGAAATTTGAAAACGGCGTTTTCACTCTGAAAACGCACCAAATGTGTTCCGTCCACACCACACCGGAGAAATTTGAAAACGAGCAATCACTGAGAACAAGAAATCACATGATTCGCGTGACGTCATCGTTTTCGAAAAGCTCCGTTTTCAAAACGTTTTCCGTCCACACCACAACGCAAAGCCAGAGATTTCAAATTCCTTTTGAAGAGCATTTTCGACAAGCTCCGTTTTCGTGACGGACTAGAGTGGACGGAAGGCTTGACCGTAGTGCGTGGCGTAGTGCGAACGGGGCCTGAAAGACGTAGAGCCAAGCATGACGTTTACGGCAGACGGCAAACGGCAAAGATTACCTCTGATTTTTTATTCTTTTCTTGTAATCCTTTACTACATCACACAAAATAGAAAAACGTCTCTTAGTATTCACCACAAATACAAATATTTTCACTCTACTGTACAGACAGCTGAAGACAGACAGCAAAAGTTTGCTCGCTGTCCCCCAGGGAGGTGACCAGTGATGTATTAACTCTTGGGAGGGGTGCTCTTTTTTTAGATCTGTTTTAAACGTTTTCAAAAATATTTAAAACTTACTTTCCACCTTTATAAGCACAAATACTTCTCGTCCTTTTAGGAATCTGTGAGCATACTGGGTTGGATACTCGTGTAAATTTTTAATGTCACCATCTTCATCTGATAAGTCCAAGGTTACTACATGGTCAATAAAGAAAAAGTGTGTCAGACAGAATTTAAGAATTATTCGTGAGTTGCAAGCTCTTCTTTCGCTACCCGTGAGACACGCCATATTTGTTCAGTCATGAATTTCGCGAGCTAGCAACAGAGGTCAGCATGAATTGGCCTAGGCTCGATTTCCGCACGATCTACCATCCTCTCGAGAGGAGACTTCGGGGAGGCTTCGGGGAGGAGCGCGGGCTCATTTCCCGAACATCGGCTGGTAATCGAGCCTAGAATTGGCTGCACGACAAAATTCCAATTAAGATATTAAGATATTTTTGCACAATTTAAAGATTTTGCTGCTCTAGATCCCGTTTTATCTGACCGAAATATCCCATTTATTTTTACATTAATATGTCCAATATCCCGACAATCCCCCATGGGGCCTCAGTATTGTATTATCATTTATTTACTTAGTTTCTTCGTTCATTCATGAGAGTATTCCTAGTATGATGATTACTGCTTATGCGCTTTTGAATGTCTCCATCTCCACTGTTTCTTTTTTAAAATATTCAGTTGATTATTTGTTACGGAGAAAATTGCAATAAAACCATCGGACAACGACAATGACGTTGTTACCTAGCAACATCTCGAAGACAACCCCAGCAAGTTCTGTACACAACTCTTACGGAACCGGGCAATTTAAAACAAGTCAGCCATTAAGTTTCTTCAGCGTTGAATATTGCCTGATAGCCTTTGGAATCAATTTCGGACAGTTAGATTTTGGGCTCTTTCCGTGGCAACTTCAAGTAATTATTATTTGTCGGGTTGTACCAATTTCTAAATACCAACGAACATTGCTGCTATCGACGTAATTTGTCGACCTGAGTAAGCGAGAAAGCTCTGAGCGAATTAAAGCGCTATTGTACCTCCCCAGGCCCTAATCTTTTGTGCCAAACACAGGTTGTGACGATATTTACTCGGCACTGCGTATAGGTTCACTTAAACAAAAGCTCATCGCTAATTGCTCACTAAACATCGCTTCACACCTTGTTTCAGTAGAGCAGTGTCACGAATAAGGAGTTCAATAGCATAAATAGACACAGCATAAGGTAACATACTTCCCTTCTGGCACCCACATCTTCTTCTTAGGTTGTCCAACAAATTTACCGTCACACAATTTGGATTAAACAATTCCTCTTCGTTGTCTACGATAAGAACAAACTGTAAACTAATTCGCACTGAAAACGCCTCCCAATCAAAACAATACTCAGTCTGTCGTAACTACAAACTTACCTCCAAACTTGACGGTTATGAAAGACATGACATGTCCTTGAGTTAACCTCGAACTTCACAGTTGTTTTCTAGAACGAAGTTGAGCTCTGCTGGACTTTTCGAGAATCATGCTCTTTGTTACTAATCCCAAGGGAACAAATTTTAGTATATTTACTTCCATAACAAAAGTCTTTTTTGCAAAACACATCTTTAATTAAATGCAGCTTGAAAACAAGTGACAATGAGCTTTGTTAATTCAAAAGAATCTTTTAAAAATATTTTCGACGTAACACTCTCCAGAGTTGACTTATGGGTTGTCTGATATTATTCGTCTGATATTTTGCTTCCAACTCACGAACAACTCCTTCAAAATCGGTCAGTGTAGAACGCAGACTGCGGACTGCAGACTGAGGACCGGGGATAAAATGCACACTGAGGACGGTAAAATGCAGACTGCAGACCAGGGGTAAAATGCAGACCCAGGGTAAAATGCAGACTGCAGACCAGACCAAACTCAAACAAGTTTCTACATAGAAAAAAAGACATCTTTATTTTCTTCTAAAAAAAGTTGAATACCCTTTTGAATTCTGATTACAAAACAACTGTAAACATTAGCCATTGAAATTAAAATTTCAGTGTATCGAATACGAATATTGCTTTCAGATTTCACGGTTGTGGATCTGACGTTAAAAATATATCTGCTTGATAACATTATTTACATAATTGCTTTTGGAAGTTTCAGATTAAAAAGGTCATCAGACTTCATATAAGATTATTCTCCTGGCATAAGCAAGACATTTTAAACAAATTTAAACTATGATAAAATGTTAAAGTGGGAATTAAAATTAATCTGTTACTTAAACTTAAATTTTCTATTTACAAAATTGTGTTTATAGTACATAGGTTCTGACAGATTTCCCGCGCGTAACATTTGGCGGGTAGTTCCACTATACAATTGTAAACAATTATTGGATGAGGTTTTTGTGATATCCAGAATAATCAAGGTCGAGGTAGGGGTTATCAGCCGATGCCGAAGGCTGAGGCTGATAACCCTTACGGAGACCTTGATTATTCTGGATATCACAAAAACCGAATCTAATAATTGTTTTATTATACATTGAACGAAAAAAATTAAAGTCATGTTTTTGCTTCTTTACTGACGGCAAGCAACACAAAGCGCGAGAACTTGACATCATTACCCGTGACTTTGAGTGTCCTTGACATGATTATTATATAATCTGCAGAGATGACGTCACTGGCGCTGATTTCGAAAATTCACTGTACGCTTTCGGCCAATCAGAAAAGAGATAGTGAGTTCAGTGTATAATAATATTAGGAAGATAAGTGACCACGACGTACTCTAGAGTCATTTACTTTGTTTATCACAGTCAAAACTGTTACCAAACTGAATCTGGGACACAACGATAAATTTGAAATAAAAATTGAAGAGATTAGTCGTCGCAGTTCACGTTCTCCTGACATGCAGAATTTGGTCATTTCACGTTGCTGTTTTGCAGAGGACGGAAAAGAAATGTACCAAGAATGATAACGCACACGTGTGTGCACTGCCATTGTTCTGCTCATTAAACCTTTTTGTTTAGCGATGTTCCAGTTGCAGCTGCCGTCCTGGTTTTCTTAGGTCCCATCCACACTACTCCAGAGAAATTTGAAAACGCATCAAATGTTTTCCGTCCACACTACGCCGGAGAAACTTGAAATCGCAACAATCAGCGGCCATTTTGCATTTGTGTTTGAGTAAAACTCGGCAGGGGAATATCACGACTATCGTGACGTCATCGTTTTCGAAAATCTTCGTTTTCAAAATGTTTTCTTTTTACACGAAAACGCAAAGCCGGCGTTTTCAAATTCCTCCGGTTTGCAGAACATCTTCGAAAAGCTCCGTTTTCGTGACGGATTAGTGTGGACGGAGGAGCTAACCGGAGAAACAAAGCTGCGTTTTCAAATTCCTCTGGCGTAGTAAGAAGGGGGCCTTAACTAAAAACAAACTCACATAACAACAATGTTTTCATTCAATTTTGACGACTTCACCGAAATCGGTTGTGTTGGAAAGCAACGATAATTTAATGAATAATCCGAATGAAAAGAGGTCGCTTAACGTCGCTGACTGAAATTAAAAGAGTGACACAAAGGCTTTCACAGAAGCTTTTGTGGTGTCCAAGATCCTTAACTACTTTAGCAGTTTCACTGAAGAAGTTCTCAAGTAAAACAGAGACCCCACCGTACCCTGGCCGAGTCTGACAGGCATCAGATGTGTTTAATTTCGGCTGCTATAGACACTACTAGATAAGCTACATAAAGAACTATCAGGTACACGCCATACATCCGGGGTACTTTGAATCCCATCAAAGGAATTATGATGGCTGACGAGCTGAGGCTGGCAGCTAGAAATCCCGCGGAGATCTGGTACTGGTGAAATCTGTGACGTAACTAAAGAGAGACAGAGGTGTTAAAGGAGCTCAGTCACGGAACTTTGAGTTATTTTGCCGGCCACGTACAAAATTACCTTTAAATGGAAGGAAACCTGAAAATAGTAGTTTGCTAAGATAGAAAAACACCAAAGAGATAATAATAAACCATAAAGGAGCAAGGATGGTTAAGGATGGAGAAGATTAACACGGATTGCAAACGACGAACTTGACAAATTTAGGCTAAACTTTTCACAACGCAGCTCCTTTAAGATGTCATGTTTTGAATCGTCTCCGGGTATAGGGTACCTTTGTAGTAACAGACGCCTTATTAAACAGCTCTCTAAAAAGATATTTTTTCTTAACATAAGACACTGTCTATTTCTCAAAAGTGATACAACTAGTTTTAAAGCCCACATCTGAAATGCAGACTGCTAGTTAATATTTTAATGAGCGTTAGATACTTACAGATATTGCATGCCCGCGTGTTACCGTTCCTACAGTACATGATAGGCCGATACCTAGTAACATATCTGGAGAGAAGTTAAGAAATCACTTTCACCCTAAAACTTGCTACAGTGCCTCTCAAACAATCAGTCCTCAAGACTTCAATCAGCTTGTCTGCTTTCCATTTCCAGATAAATCATACCAGGCTTAAATGTCCGCTTTTGCGTTCCATTTAGAATGAGATTTAATAATTCTCACAACCCAACTGCTTGACTTTAGTACAAAAGGCGAGGAGAAATTAGCAATGAATCAGTAATACTGCCGGAGATCAAAGGATACTGAGTAAAGGACCTCCAAAGCAGGCTGACACGGCCATGCGAGAAAATCCTTGTCTTGCCATAGCAGTGTTAGATATTAAGTCTGCAAAATAAGCAAACGCAAGTTGAGCTATGAGCAGTTCCTCTTTTCTCTTAGTTCGTCGCGCGAGAAGCTTAAATATAGAAGTCAGAGGGGAGAAACGCTGAAAACAGAACTGTCTCGCAGCCTTGTCATTTGTTTCTCTTGCTTTTTTTTTAATCTGATCGTGTTATGGGAGCAGATTGAGAGAGACAATACTCACCACCAAGGCTGTTTCCCCAGGCAAGGAAAGTTAGACCAAGAATTGCGTTACTTAAACCAAACGCGAAACCGAACGTCTGCAAATAAAAAAAACACGATAGAAATAACTTTGAAAAAGCCTCCTTGAGTTAAATGTTCTTAAGTTTGATTTCTTCTCGACTCCTATGGCTGCCGCTGCCTCTGTGTGAGCAACTGTCGGGCAGTGAAGGCTGGCGCACAGCAAGGATGCAATGAAGTCAAGGAACAATAAACAAGTGGTTCAAGAAGGAAAAATCTTTCACATTAACAACTGTACCTGAAGAAGGTTAACAATCTCGTTCGCCGTGGTGTAGATCCAGATTACAGATATCGCGAACGCCACGTACGCAAACAGCTGGAAGAGGGAGAGAGACAAACGTGTTAAAAGAAGTTATGAGACGAATTACAAACTCCTTTGTACTAAGGAAAACTTTGAGAAAAGTAAAAATTTTCCTGGAGGTAAAGGGATCAGGCCCCTGCTGTTCAAAGATTGGATTATAACGCTTTCCACGCGTTAGCCAAACCTAATAGTTGTTTTTTATTCACCGGTGAATACCATAGCATGCTTTGTACAAACGGGACACATGAGGAGGAGTCTTGGCTGGGATACTAGTCCATCCAACCATTCCACCATAATTTGCTAATATTACCCATGAAAGCAAAACATGTTCGAACATAAATTTCTCGATACACATTCCAATGCAATATTGATCATTATCTCTGCCTCATAATTTCCAATGCAGTAGTCGATTGAACCATGTTTTTACCTCAATATTTGAAAGATATTCGCCACTTAAGCAACAAGAAGAAAACTGGGGCGAGTCTCATCTCGCAGTCACTTGTGGGATCGTTTTCTGGGGACAAAACAAAAGACGTGAAGCCATCTTGTCCCTAGTAATGATCCCACAAACGAGTAAGAGATGAGATTCGCCACAGTTTTCTTCTCGTTTCTAAAGTGGCAAATTGCTGTGAAGTACTTACAAAATGACCCCATGGCTGTTTGTCACTTCTGGTTGTCATGGCGATCACCAGAGCTAGAACGATTCCTCCACACAGTGCCAACGCCCAGGCCGGAAACCGTCCACCAACCATAAAATTGCTGGCTTGAAGAAAGACATTATACTAACGTTATATTTTTTTGGCAAAAACGTTCATTCCGTTTTTCTCTTCTAATGAGTTGAAAGATTCAGAATTCGTCACTTATTAACTAAGAATTCACCTAAACGTCTTTCAACGAGTTGACAAGCCCTGAGCTGTGCTTAAATCTAGCTTAATGGGAAACCACGCTACTTTGAGTAGTAGTTCCTCCCCCTGGACAGGAAGTTAGCCCATTTCACGCCCGACGTGGGGGGGGGGGGGGGNTTTTCATTTTTGTTATCACATTTCCCTTGTAGGCAACACAATATTATCTTGAAGGGGAGGGGGAGGACTCTCATATGAAATGGTCGGGGGTGCTTGTCGTGTTGCTTAGGGATGAAATTAAGGATTCTGGTCTCACTTAGGGTGTACATGACGAAACGCCACTATTTTTGCTGTCAAAATATCTTTTAGGGTACACTCGCAGAAGTAATAATAAAAGAAACGATCTTATTTCCGCTTTTACGCTCGATTTCCATCGTTCTCTCGAGTCCGGTGTACTAGTGCAGGCTTCTTTTTGAAAAGTGCTCGACCAGAGACGAGCGCACTAACCATGAGGCCTCCGCGCCTCCCACGTTGGTTGTACGTACCGGCCTCTAGTACATCAAGTTATGTACTTAAGGTTGAAGTACAGTTAGCCTGCATAGCAAGCATACCCTTACGAAGAGCTTTTTCGCATTCTGGCTGCGCGTAAATTGGAGCGAGAGCAAAAAAATTGACGAAGCAGGGGGTGGTGGGGCGAGAGAGCGAACGCTTGCCCGCGAACACCTCGATTTTGAAAAACGCCCACTGGTTTTCACGGTTTCCTCGCTCACCCCACCACCCCCTGCTTCGTCAATTTTTTGCTCTCGCTCCAATTTACGCGCGGTCAGAATGCGGAAAAGCTCTGTACGGGACCGCTTGCTACGCAGGCTAAAGTACAGTTCAATACTAACCTTTTGTTACCATGACACTGAAGACTGGCATTGTTATGCAATGCAGGACATTCAGCCACTTGTTCCAATTATGCTGCTCTTTGTCGTAATCCACAACTGGTACAGTGAGATTCAGACAAAATACTGCAGGAGCCTGCAACCAAAATTCCAGCCTCAGTTAACATGCAGCTCTGTTTGCACAGTGAATAGGCCATCTCCGAGTTGCTCTTTGCCTCTGTGTAAAAACAAATCTTCGTGCGAAACCACTGACTTGTTATAAAAATTCCTCATCTGTAAGTTCATTTCTCATTTTCATAAAAAGGTTTTGAACGAAGACTCGTTTTGAAACAGAGGCAGAAGGCAACTCCGAAATGGCCTGTTTCAACCCACCACAAGAGAGGACTCAGACCCAGATCCCACCCTACACCTCGCTATGGTTCTAATAAGAATTGCTTACCTTCACAATCAAAAAGAATCTCCAGAAATAATTGCTTCTACACCAGTCTTCTCGGTCAATAGGTTCTAGGCCCTGCAGGAATTTTCCGCATGCACTAACTTGACGTCTACTACCCAGAAGAGGTAATTCCTCATCTAAAAGAGAAAGATCCTTTATTATTATAAAAATTATGGCTCGCTTGGTGAGCGGGCAAGATGAACAAAATCCTGGGTTGTGATTGACTACTTGAGTGGGGGAGATGGTGCTATCTTGCCTACTCAGGATTACCGGATTTACTGACCAAGCTTGTTAGGTCAAGATGGCTGAGCGTTGGCCCGTTCTGTTTGTGTGTTTACGGACCTCGACTCCATCTCAACCCATAAACATGCAAAAAAAAAAAAAAAAACTTGGCCAACCAATATCCAGCCATTTTGACCTCACACTTGGTCTATAAACCACACATAATCATCCATAACTAACTTTATTTACAAGAGCATCACTGCCAGCATTGTTTCCAGCAATAATTAACATATAACTATATGTTTTGCTCTGGCCTGTCTTTTGAGGTTTTTTTTAAAATTCCTTTCAACTGCTCCTTGAGTACTAGTTACAAAATTTTCAAAAAGGCTTGAAGCAACCAAAGAAGCAAACTTCCAAATTGACTAGAGTTAATTTTAGAGAAAATGGGGTGGGTTATAAAATTGACAGACTGACAACATTTGATTACTTTAAATTATACCTGAAAGTACAGATTCTTGTCTGGCAGGAATTGGAGCACTGTGAATGGCTGGAGCAATCAGTGTTTTTTCTGTAGCAAAAAGAGCATCTGCAACATAGGAGAGGCCAAAACCCTGTTTAGTGTTTTACAAAGCCTTCAGTAGCTATAAATAACTAAATGTTAAAAGTGGATCAACCAGCTACCTGAAACTCTGTTGTGAGGTCCATGCGTTCTTGTGTCTTGATGCTCGATGTCAGTTGGTTCCTCAATCACAGAAATGATGGATTCAGCACTTATGCCCCTCACTGCATTCAATAGGTTTCTTGCTCTAACTTGGCCCTCTGATTCAAAATAGTCACCAGTGGATTCTGTTTAAACACATGCCATAAAAGTAGCAAGGTCTATGAATAAGCCGGTGGTAGGTTAAGAAGTAATGTTAAAGGTTTAAAAAATGACCTGAAAATGATCTTGGGGTTCACAAAAGTATGAAAGAAATTAGGGACTTTTGAAGCAGAAACAGATTACAGGTACATTACATTAAAAATGATGTCAACAACTACATGCAAAATAAAATGGATGACGCAAGTTGCAGCTGGAAATTGGTCACCTGCATGTGACATTATCATATTGTTTAAGCCTTGAAGCTCTTTTCATGAAAATCGTGATGTACTTGTAATGCATTCATTGTCACAATCATATGATGTTGTCTAAAGCTAGGTAATATAATTTTATGAGTGAAAATGCAACTGTGAAACGCACACCATGTCTCCTTGCCCTTCAAATGCAAATACACACCGAATAAGAAAATAAGCTAGTTTAAGGACTACAAATTAAATCATAAACACACCTGACTGTCCTGATTCTGAGGATTCAGGGGTAATTTCAACACGCACTTTTCTTTTGCATCTTTGGTGGATGTAATGGCCAACAATGACCACAAAAATGTAAGCTACATAAAATACTATGAAACCTATAAAAAGAAAAAAAGAAAAACAATCCGTTAGAGTCTATGGAGGTCTCAACAAGTAAGCAATTCACATTAGCCTGTTCCAGGCTTTCAGTTGGTTGGGGGCCATGCAGTGAAGGGAAAAAAAACAAAAAAACGAAGGGAGACTAACACTGACTCTGACAGGACTTGTACACATACCCAAACAAACCCAAGCAACAATGAATCAGTTTACCATCAATATTATTTTATTTATACTCTGTCTCTTTTGTTATTGAGGACCCAAGCATATGACAGATGAGTCTCCAACTAGAATTATAGGCATGCAATGTGTGCAGAAAACCCCATCATTGCAGCCCTTCCATAGCACTAATTGGGCCTAGCTATAATAATATATGTAGTATATGTGGTACTAAAGTAACATGTACTCTTGCTGCAGCACCAGTCATTGCACTGCAATCCTCAAATGAGAGTCACCATGACACAGCCAGTGCTGGTGAACTAGGCCTATGTGCAAAAGTAAATGGTCAGTCCACCAGGGGACAACGTTTGTTGCACCTATTGCCTCTTCCAAAGTTATGTTTTCTTTATAAAGTGTGATGAACGTCCATGAGACTGCTCCCAGGTAGAATAAAACATCCCTGGTGAATGGACGAGTCTTCAGTGTAACAGTTGAGACAAAGGATACGACACCAACCACAACTGTTGTCACAAACATACCAGCACCTGAAACATAAAAATATAAGATTTTTAACAACATCTAACAATAATAAGTACGATCAATAACGTTACCATGTTCTAAACAAGTTTGACAAGTAACTTAAAAAAACTTTTCAGGATAAAAAGTAGCGATCTTAAAACATGACTTTTCGGTGAGGACATGTCACCATTATCAAAATAATATAAATTATTGTAAGTCCAGTAACATCATATAAAGAAAGTGTGAAACTACATTAGAGTAAAATTGAGATGCAGGAAAACAAAAGAATGCAGCGACATAACTAACAAAAACAAAAGGATATCGCTACTTTTACCCTGAAATGTTTTTCCAAATTTAACAACCATTTGTTACTTGTTAACCCTTTACCCCCTAAGAGTGCAAATTGGCACACAAGGTCATAAATTTGTGAATATTTGATAGATTTCTATGAATTTTTGCCATGAAAATTGTCTTGTAAAGATCTGCTCATTTTTGACCCCCTCCCATCCAAGACATGGTTGATCACCCCCAGAAGTTTTTAGTTCCTTTTTCCATATGCAAATGGAATGCAAGACTTGCTTCATATCAAGCTATGCACTAAGAGCTGCTAAATAAGCTAAAGTTTAGGGGTATACCTAATATAGTAGAAGATTGATACATTTTCGAAGTCATTCATTTTCGCATTTTAAAGCAATTTCTCTCAAAATGTCTACCTCCTTCATAGCTGCTGATGTCAATTCTTAAATAAGCTGATTAGTGGCTTTCAAATGGCATATTGTACACAGCCAGGGTGTCTTTATTTGCCGATTTGGGAAAAACTACTGCTCGCCTTAGGGGGTAAAGGGATGAACACACAAGAAAGCCACACAAAACATTTGGCAGTAAAAGGGACTAAGGTTGTTGGGTGCTCCTTGGGGTAAATAGCATGGAAGCAATACACCCCGCAAAGTGAAGGTAAAGGGGGGTGGCAGCAGCACACCCCACGAGTAATGGACAAGCCAACAAGTGTAGCACATGCTACACGTGGTGATAGCATGTAAACTACAAGGGATGAGTCAACGAGTGTGGTGCATGCCACACCTGGCTAATGACTAAGGCTATGGTGGGGTCAGGACACCACCCAGCCTACTATGTGCAAAGCTAAGGAGCAGGTGTGCACCCAGACCTGTAGTCCAACTTTATTGAATGAGGGGAGTGTGAGGTGGGAAAAAAATGCAGAATACAGTAAGCAAGGATACTATAGTGTTGAACACACAGCAACAAACGTGCTGTATAAAATGCATACATGCAAACATGCAACTATTGATAAAGGCCTGATAAGGCATAAGTTGTATCGATTACACGATGTAACATCACATTCTTGTTTTGAGGTTTTTAAATTAAAGCAACCACAACCATAGTTATAAGTATGATAAGACATAATTTTGTATCAATTACAGCATGCAATTACAGCATTTCTAAACTCCTCGCATAGCTTCCAAGTTAAGTAGTTCATTGTCTAACACAACAATAATAATAATTATTAGAGCAGTTTTGTGTAATAGTAAGACAGTGTCCCTTGTGTTATAGAGTTCAGGTGTTTACAACCGTTGAAGGTAACCCAATGATTGAGCTGCCATAATTACGTGACTAAAATATTGCATATATATTTGTATCGCTTCAACTCTAGTTTACAAATAACATTGCCCCTTTCGTTATCAGAACTTAAAAAAAAAACTTAATTTATTTATCAGGTTAAAGGTAAAAAAAAGGGAATGATTTAAAGTCAGACCCTTTGTGAGATTTAGAGGATATTACATGGCCTCATGCTGAGAATGACATGAAATTTCTCCCTGAGTATTAAAAAAAAATAAGAAGAGAATCTCCACATGACCATGATGTAATGTTCTATTAACACCAATGAAATACCAAACCATTTCACTTTTGCTGTGAAAGGTGTGGTTTATTTAATATGTAACTGTATAGCAAACAGTGATCTTTTCATGTGTGAAGATAACAATTGTTATTTTCATGTGTGAATATAATTATTTTTTGTACGAAAGCTCACCTGGTATTTCACTGGTGTTTATATAATAAATAATATACATCTGATGAACCAATATTCAAGTCTACACTGTTGTGAAGAACATAAACTAAAACAAAAAACTTAATGTCCACTAAATACTGCTCAGTATATTTATAGCTGCACAACTTACCAAAAAGAGCCTGCATTCCAAGTTGTACTTCATTTGGATCTCTGCTGTTAGAAAAGGCTGCCAGAGAACTAAAAATGTCAGGAGCACCATTCCCAATGGCTAGAAATGTAACTCCCTTGGGGTTACACTACAGTCAAGGAAATTGAATTCCACGATATGGAGTAAGATATCAATATTAATATTAAAATAACATTTCAATATTTAAACAGATATATTCACCTCCAATGGTGCTTGTGCATCACCAACAGAAAATCACCCCACGAAAGCACCATACAGTACATTAAAAGGATACAGCAATATTCTGACTAAGTCGTAATGTTTTGGAAATTACTTGCAAGGAAGGACAGAAGCTACAGGGAAATAGATAATAATAATATTATAATAAAATTAAAACATTACCAACTGAAAATGATTGTGATCATGCTGCAGCAAATCAGCAGTGGGTCTAGACCTCTTTATACAGTGTTGTTGTTATTTCACTTGAACTGGAAGTTAGTCAGCAAATATGACCTAAAACCTTCTGGAATGTTTTGTTTCTCGATGTAATGTTCAAATTTATAGAAACCCTGCAACAATGCTATTTAATTCTTTAGAGAAGCTTCTGGAAATTCTGGGTGTACTTGTATATATAAGGGCATGACTCTTGTCCATAAGAGAGCAATGAAAAATGTAATGAAACTTTAATTTAAGTGTTGCTGAGTACTGTACGTAATCCCAGAAGTTAAATAACCCAGTTTGTTACTGTTACCGACGATCCAGCTGCACTGACACTCCTTACATCCTCCTTCCCTTTGGCAGCATTTTGTACCAATTAGGTAAACTAGTACAGTGTTAAAGGATGAAGCCCAGAAACTGTTCCTGCCCTTGTTGATTTTCATCTTAAATTAAATGACGACCCAAAAGGTACCAAAATTTGTGGCCTTATAATAAGTAATTCCTCCAATTTGCAATAAGGGGAGGGAGTGCGAGGGGTAGGATTGCATGATGCCTAAGAACTTTACATATATCTATATATTACTTAATAAAGTAAGTATATTGTCCCTACGATTAGTACTAGTGTAAATGAAGGAGTATGGTGCATGGATTTGGGAGAAGAAAAGACTGCATTGAGACAAAGCCTCAAGCCCTTTTCTGCCACACTGCCTTTTTTGCTGGCCTAGCTAAGTTCTCAGGGATAAACAACATGGTGCATGTGGAAAAGAGAGTGCTTATAAGTCTGATGCAAATTACTTTAATTTATTATAATTTGCACAGAAAATGTATGTAATGCATCTAAAGATGTTAATTAATAATACATGTATGTTATCTGGGAAAAAAGCAGTAAAACAGTGAAAAAAAAAAAGTAATAAATTTAAAATTAGCTACTTCACATGAAAAGAGATCAAGTCAGATTGGACTACATCCGTAAAAGTAATAATT